AGATATAACATGTAGAATTAAGAATACAAATAAGATATTACAAAATAAAAAAATCATACTTTAATAACAGAGAGTAGAGTTTATAAGTTTTACAAAAAGTAAAAAATTAATAGAATAGTATTTTCATTTGGCAAATATAAGTGGAATTACAATCATATTTATACTCTAGAGATGTTTGCAGATTATAAAAATAGTAAATATTGGAGTAAATAAGTCTATTGTAAAATTTCAAAATAGATTATTAATTTTCTGGAATATCACAATTGGTATTTCATTAATGATAATTATTGCAGCATATCTAGAAATTCCACAAAATTTCTAAATTCTTAATCAAGATGATATGCAAAGCAATTCTACATGTAAGAGCAGCTTTTCAATAATAAATTAACGATCATTTACCAGTTTTTTTAATAACAACCTTGCTTCTTTGGAGTATAAAGTGTTATCAAATATATTTACAATATTATCACACATAGTTGTTACCTTTAAAGCTGGATGGTCAATTTTTCTTTTAAAGTAAAATAACATCTTATTTACTACTTCATTCAATTCATTAGTAATAAAGATCATCGGCTAAACTTCAGCATCATATTTTTTTCTTTTGTAATTTTCAAGAACATTTATAATCATCTGTAGAAAGTGTTATTTATTCACTATTTCTGTTTATATTTAATCCTTACTATTCTGAAATGATGATTTGCATTCTTGATAATCTGAATTTGATTTAGAGAGTTTATTAAGTATAATTTTAGGTAGAATAACGTAATTACAAACACAAATATTATTTTCTTGATGAAATTTTCAATTTCTTTCAGCCGTCATTATTTTAAAGATTTTATCATCAAAAGTTCTAATTCTTAAATTAAATATCCATCCCCACAAAAATTTTCATATTATGGTCCTTCTAATAAGTTTCTTTCTAACATTCTACACATAACCTTTAGAAGCAATTGAGTGAGATGAGTAGGAAAATTAGTAACACTCATCAAATTTAATATTATCTCTGTGATCACATAATTCCTTTCCGACTGTGTACCCATGACCACATATAAAAATATAAGCTCCATCTGATAAACCTATCCTTTCTTATAACAATCTTAACATATTAGACCATTATAAGGATTACATCCTTATTTACATTCTGCTTGGCGATAAAAAAAACATAGGGTAAATAAAGATAAACTTCAATAATCATTTTATTTATAATTGTGCTACTTCCTTCTTATTTATCATCCAATATGGAAAATATGAATCGCATTCCAAATAATTGGTAAGTGCAACAGATGACAAAGATTAGGTATGACATTTGTCATTAATCCAAACTCAAGAAGTTAGATTGATATCAAAAGTAAAGCGATCAATTATATTAAAATCTTCACAAGCATTTCTTAAACTACTTTATTATCTATGAATGACAAATTTCTTTTCTTTCAAAAATAGAAGCACCCGCTTGAAGATATTGAATATTTGTAATCAAAGCATCCTTGGATACGCGCAACCACTATTTTAACAAGTATAAAGGAATCCTATACACACTAAATGAGATTAATCAAGTGCAAGTCCATTCTCGTGTATCCTTTCTATAAAATACTTTCTCCTCATTCCAGAGGCAATAGGCTGCACGTAAATTTATGGGCCCATCACTCCCAAATTATTAACAAGCGCATCTCATACATAATGATTAACCAATTTCACATCCACTTAATAAGCATTTTCAGTATACGAACACCAAAATACTATTGAATACTATCTGCCGTATATCAAATCAATTGTGTAGTGAAAAATTGCTTGGCTTATAGTAATATTAAAGATTAGTATCAGAAAAGAAAATTAAGTTTTATAATCCAATCACATTCTATGGTCTTTTATAAATTACACATTGTTATTTGGATTAAATTATTACATCCTTTTAAATTTATATTAATTGTAAAATAACTCTGATAACATTATGTTTGAAAGTAACATTCAATTCGAAATTTATCAATATAACTTAAAGTATATTGTGCTAAAGTAAAAGCAATTTGAAGGTCTACCCATTGATTAGATCGAGTCTGATTGTAAAAATTTATTTAAATAATAAGATTCGCTTTATTAATGGGAAGTATAAGTAATATCT